TAAGGATAATCATTCCTTTATCCCATTCCACATGGTAAAGAAACTTTTAATACCCAAAGAGTCTGTCTAGTTGTCAAATTCTCTTTTACTAGGGCGGGAAAAAAATGAATATTTCTTATTTAGCTTAAAGCTGTTGTCAAAAGGTGGAATAAAGTAATAATTGAACAGGGACGGTAAAATCTTAATCTTTTTTTTGATTAAGGATTTGGACCAATTCAAAATCTTTAAAACAGCTTTTTAAAACTTTCATTTTGTGATTTTATACAGAAAAGTAGGATTATAAAGAGACCAAGAATATCATTTAAGGGACTGTTGTGTTTAATTTAACAGCCTATAAAAAGATTATGAAATTGCTGAACATACCTTTTCTGCCTGTATACGTATAAAACTTTTATTTTTAATTAAGTAGGATACAACCTAACTTTGCAATCTTGTTTTTTTTTTTAAGGTAGAGGAAGTTTGTCTAGCTGCTGGATAAATTCTCGCTGTGATGTAAATTCTATTGCACTTGATTTAAATGTGAAAAACTTCCAAGCCACGTGCTGCGACTGGGATTTGTGTAACAATGCTCCAAATGTTGTAACTAACAAGATAGTCCTGTGTGGGGCTTTGTTGCTGACTATTATTCCTATGTTAAAGTCTTTAGTGGGGAACTGAAATGGGGCCTTGTTTTTCAGTTTCAAAAGATAAGAAACCCTGGTATCTTTTCAGAAAGTGTTCCTGCTGGAAAAGATTAAATCATTAGGATATAATATTCAGTAGATAAATTTGATATGCTACACTTTTCATATTTTTCCTTTCTGTACTCAATTTCTATTTGGAAATTTACATTTAATCTGAAAGACATTCATGTAGCCAAAGGTGGACATCTAAAGGTTGCTTGTGTTGTTTTAAATTTCATTAAATTGCCAATCCCATTTTAACTTGTAAGCAATTGTTGCAATAAAAGTGCTATTGTACATTTACGTGTGGATTGATATTTTTTTTGTTTACCTTGAGGCAGGGATGAAATTCAGCAGGTTCTGAAAGATTCTGGAAAACCGGTAGTGGAAATTTTGAGTAGTTTGGAAAACTGGCAAATACCATCTCTGGCTGGCCCCAGAGTGGGGTGGTAATGCAGATTTTGCAATATCCTTCCCCCAGGAATTGGGAGGGAATGGAGATTTTGCAGTACCCTCCCCTGGAGTGGGGTGGGAATGAATATTTTGCAATATCCTTTCCTTGCCATGCCCACAAAGCAAGCATGCACAATCCACCACCTCTTCAACAACCAGCTATTTGTTGGGGTCACGCTTTGCATGTGGGTGCAATTTGCTTTTTGCCATAAAAACTGGTATAGAGCAGGGGGGAACTGTACCGGTTCGACTGAACCAGCTGCAATCCACCTCTGTCAACATCCACACCCACAAAACTGGTAGTAAAAAAATTTGAATTTCACCACTGTCCTGAGGCTCTTTCTGATGCCACAAATGAAGCTTCTCCATTCTAGTCATAACAGTGAATGACACACTATCTCCCTGCCACTTTTGTGGGTGGTTTCTTATCACTATCTAGTGGCTTGTCTGTGATTAAATTAACTTTCCAAATTCATACCATTCCCAATAAGCACTTTGAAGTCTCTTTATTTAGCACTTATTAGGGTACTGCTACTGCCACCAGGAAATGATAGTTTTTGTATGGATAATAACATAGTTAAACTTAGAAAAGCTTGATATTAAAATGCTAAGTGTGAGAATAGTAAGAAAATATCTTAATTTTGATTGGAAGCCACTCAAGAGTTACCCTGCATGGCTGATAAACTATCATCCATCCATCCATCCATCCATCCATCCATCCATCCATCCATCCATCCATCCATCCATCCATCCATCCATCTAGAGATAGGTGACATATTAGATAGATAGATAGATAGATAGATAGATAGATAGATAGATAGATAGATAGATAGA